TTGGCATGTTTTGGGCCACACACCATAACCTGCACCCACATTCATTCCCTTGCCCTGTACTCCCTTGTCCCGAGCCCCATTCCTTTCCCATTCTCCTTGAAACATACGGACACACACACAAACTTATCAAACCTTCACAGATCGAAGGTATAAAGTATTTATTCATGCTCGTGAGGCTTGTAGGAGTCCAACCATACCCATTTCAGGTAAGAATACCTTTGTTTTCACGTCGAACTCACGATGCCCGATTTTGGTACTGTTCATGCACACGTAATTTCTCACGTTTTAGGGAATTTCAAGCTTGTAGAAAGCTTGGTGAGGTCCCTAGGAGGCTCGGGGTGGTTCGTTTGAAGGTTTTGGACGTCGGGATCACGAGTTTCGAAGTTGGCCAGAGTTGGGGTGATTTTCCAGGTAAGATTTTGTGGTTTTTAGCACTTGAAAGTGGTATGATTGTGTTCCTCTCGTTGTAAGCTTCATTTTGGTACCAATTTCGTGAAATTTGGTTGAAAAACGAAGAAGATAGGACTATTTGAAAAATTCCCAGTTTTCCGGCGCCGGCGACGATGCCGGAGGCTCGCCAGGGAAGACGACGGAATATTTCGTCAAATCTGACGGAATATTCCTAACGCCGTCAGTTGATGCCGTAAGCGTGCCTGCGCGTGGCCGTGCCTTGGCCGGCGCGTGGGGGCGCGTGCGACGGTGAAAAATTATTTTAAAAATATGGGGATGTTCCTGAGGTTGAGTAGATCACGTTGGTGTATTCATACACCCCATTTGAGCATTGTTTGAGAAGTTATTTCATAAGTTTGGTTATGTGCTTTAAAATTAACGTTTTTATAGTTGTTTCACATATAGGTGAGACCTATCCCGAGGACGAGCGCGGTCACTCGAGGCAGGGGGGCTATGACCCTTCCACTTACCAGTGAGTGGGCTTTTGGTTTTCCGTATATACCTATATACTTATATTTTCCCAGAAATTGAATTAAATGTTTATTAGTTAAATGCCATTTTTATATTGTCGGTTGTTATGCATGATTAGTCGCATTTATATATATGTGTGTATGTATTGGTGCTGTGGACGCACAGGTAAGTGCCAGGTGAGTGGTAATTTATATTTACGTTTAGTAGTGATTTGAGATACATAGAGAGCTCATAACCTGCACCCCCGGTGTTAGTGCTCCAGCCCAGAGTTGGGCACAGTCCTTCACGTGATGATCACCTCCTGCACCACACGCTCAGCTTGGATCCAAGTTAGGTGCACAGTCCTGTCATACAGACCACTTTAGGTGGTTCCGACTCGTAGGTGACCCGCGATTATTCGCCCAGCCTTCACGTGATCGTAGCACTTGAGTGTTTATATGTATTACACCCAGGCCTGTCGTACAGACCACTTTAGGTGGTTCCAACTCGTGTACAGGTCCAGATAGTGAGATTGAGATTTGAGCTCTAGATTCAGCCGTACAGGTCACGTTAGGTGACTCCGGCTGACAGTTTATATGATGTTAATATGATTTTACCTGAGCACTTGCATTTCATTTTGAGGTTTTGGCATAGCATATTCTTGAGCATGATTGGTATATATACGTATATCTATTTTCCGGGAAGTATACAGGTTTTACGGCGATGGGTTAGAACTTATTTATTAAATGGTTTTCGAGAAGCTTTGTTTTTGCCCACTCACACTTTTGTTTTGCACCCCTCCAGGTTCTAGTTGGCTAGCACGTTTGGTGGTTCCCCAGAGGGCTTTCCCGGCATATTTGACAGACGACCACCAGCGTAGGACCACCTTCGGGTGTACTGTTGTTGCGTCGTTTTCTTTTGGATTGCTTTAGGCTTATTGCTCTGAACTTGTGTCTCACTTACGCTAGCACTTGTTTCTATTACCTTATGTATGCTAGTTTTTATTTATTCGTACTATTTACATTACTATTTTATTAGCTTCCGCACTGTGCACATAGTTACGTCACTTCCATGTGACGGCCAGCATGCCCTGATCTCGATCGGGGTGTGTCAGAAAAAGCTAGAAAGAAAGGGAAACAAAGAAGAAAGGAAAAAGGGAACAATCATGAACTTTTTGGCAGAAAGAAAAAGAAAGGAAGAAAAACCCATAAGTTTTGTTTTTTTTGTCATTTTACACGATCACAACTGTTATGCATAAATATTTACCAAACACTATAATATTACTTTTTTTTATTCTTTTTTTTATTAAAAGCACTTTTACAATTATCATTACCAAACACTTTACTGATTTATTTCACAGCTGCTTATTGTTGAAATGTCCCACATCAACCGTATCAATGAGAAAAGAAGAGTTTAAATATCATAAACCCACTCCAACTAACATCGAGACCATTTGTGATAAAACCCCACACCTAACGGATTGTATAGATGGTAATTACCAAGTTGAGAATAGTATCGGTGTTGTTGGAAGTGGCTTTTGGCCCATCTCTCTGATAATTCTACACTTATTCTTACAGCACAACAAAAATAATTTTTTTTTCAACGCACAACTATACCAAACTAACCGTAAATGACAATGACGAACAAAAACTGAGAGTGATGGACCTGATGACCACTCGCTCATGCAGTGATATACTAATGTACATGCTCTCATATGAATAGATAATAGTATGTTGATATTTTATGGATTTGTAGCACGACACGAAAATGTGTCAGTTTCATCGAAAAATTTATCGACCATAAATAAAATTATAATGCTCATCATGATTTTTGCATTCTTTAGCCGAAAGAAAAGGTCCAGACAATACAAAAGACAATTTCGGAAGTGAAAGTAATTGATCATAACTTAACAAACCTGAAAGCCAAAGAAAGGCTTCTTATTATTTGTAATTAATCAAGCCACTTCATGAAAAATCAAGAAACGTAATGACATCAGTCCTCAACTTGCTCATCATGCTGGTCGCTATGGAAGCTCTCCTCCTTCTCCTTCTCCTTCTCCTTCTCCTTCTCCTTCTCCTTCTTCTTACCCTTCCACCCCCGCCTCTCCGGCCTCCCGTGATGCCCTCCGTGCGGCTCCACAACATCCGTGATGTCCAAATGAACACCGGGGTCATTCGTGGTGTAGCTACCGCCCATCATGAGGGAGTTGTTCACAGCCTGGAAATTGCTGTTCACATAAGTGCTCAGCTCATCAGCGTCTCCGAACGCTGGACCACCACCATGAAGCCCTCCAGATTTGTTCATGTTCTCGTGATCCAGCTCACTCCTCAATGTAGCTCCGGTGTTGGATCCAGCGAGGGTGATGATCCTCACGCCGTGTTCATCCTCATCCTCATGGTGGATGGAGCCGGACTTGTGGATGTCGGTGACTCGGTTGGTGATGGTGGAGACCATGTCTCGGATTTCTTTGTCGAGTTGCTTGTTGTGCCTGCTGCCTCCGTGATCGGCTGAGGAGTGGGTGCCGGTTTTGTGTGACTCGCTTGTCATTGTTGTTGGTTTGCGGTGAGGTTCACGGGGAGTATTGAGGTGGATATATAGAGAGGAGTACTTCTGATTTGGGTTAGAAATTTGGAATAAAGGGATGGCTTACTTTGCAATGCAAGGATATAAAAAAAATAAAAAAAAAAATAAAAACAAAAGGTAAAGGGTGGTGGTTACTTGGCATTTGGTTCATCCTACTTCTAAACTTTATGCTTTTGTGATTCTCACTCTCACTCTAAATTTTGTGAAGTTTAAAAAGGGAGAAAACTACATACAGTTACGAATAATATGAAATGATCGACAAACGTCAAATTCGAGAACATTTAAAATTAAAAAAAAAAAAAATTCTTAAACTTTATCGAGAATATATGATAAAATATTGTTTGTCAAATCTAGATATTAAGTATGACAATTTGTTGGATGACCCGTTAACTTGATACGAAACGACATGACTTGTTAGAGAATCGGATCGTTATTGGGTCACCTGTTAAGAATCCTTTAAGATAACGGATTTGACATAACACGACCCGTGAAAATATTAAGTATGACACAGAAACGACACGAATATGACAAACACGACTCGTTTTCCAGGCCTCCCTCTACCTTGCCCCTTGATTTGTAACCCCTCTCACATGTCTCGATTGTACTCAATTGTGATTTCCACATTAAACTGATTAACATGAAGAAAAAAAAAAGATTTTTATATTAACATCCCACAAAATGTTGAATGCACCCCATATTAAATTTTAGTATTAAATGACTTATTTACCCTACTATGTAATGACAATTTTGACCTTATTAGGTTAACAAAAAAAATTTCTATATACACCCCAAATTACTTTTAACATATTATTTATCTTCTTTAACTATCAAAACCCCTCAAACCCTCCATTATTGAACAAAATCTTAACCAATGAAACTACAAACATGTTGATTGTGAAAAATTATTTTTGACGAATGAAACACGAAATCGATGTTTTGAAAGCTTCACATAAGGTAAGACTTCATATTTTTTTATTGTTTTAGTGTTTTTGACGACATTGATAATTATTATATCTTGCTTTTGATGCATTATTCAAGCTTCTATGTTAGTATTCATTTTTTAGGGATCACATGGATTACATGAAGAATTAAACACCTAAAATTACCACCAAATATTAAAAATTGACGAGATGGGTTTTAATGGTGGAATTGAAAACAACCCACATATGCTTTAAATCCCATGCGGCATCTTTTGTCAAAATTTCAGTCCGCATTTTTTTTTTCAAATTAAAAGCTTTATATGATTTGAGAAATGTGGGGTGTATAGAAAATATAGGATGCATGTATGTAAGGTGTATATTAAGAATGTGGAGTATGATGGTATTATGGGAAAATAAGTGGGGTGTATTAATATAATTATTAATAAAAAAACAAATGTAAGGTGCATCAAGTATCTGAGATTTATTCAACAATTTATGAAGTGTTTAATATAATAAGCCAAAAAAAATTTAAAGACAAAAATCCCCAAACACATGCTGGGCCTACATTATTCCAGAATTGCGCGGGTTACCTCTCCAACCCAACCGGAAGCTGAACGGGGCCCGAACTCTCCCTTTCCAGAACCACAAAAATTGATTTTTCTTTCTCCAAATAACTTTTCCTTTTGTTTTCCCTACGGCGATGCGCCTGAGATCGAATTGAAAATCGGCGAACGAGAAATTGAGCGAAAAATGGAGACGAAGAACAAGTACAGCATCATAGTCCCGACCTACAACGAGCGCCTCAACATCGCCCTCCTCGTCTACCTCGTCTTCAAGCATCTCCGGTAATCGTCCCACCCTCGCTCTCTCACTCCTTTCTCTGTAATCGAGTTCATGAATAATCAAATTTCGGAATAAATTCGTGGCGAATAATTCGATTTTCGTGTGTTTTTTTTTTGGTGTGTAGGGATGTTGACTTTGAGATAATCGTCGTTGACGATGGAAGCCCCGACGGCACTCAGGAGATTGTTGAACAGTTGCAGCAACTCTACGGTCACGATCGCATCGTAAGCACTTCGTTTTCTGCTTAATTTCTTCCTTTTTTATCCAGACTTGTTCTAGTTCTGTTTATCTTTGTTTAATTATTTAATTATTTATGTATTTTGTTGTAGCTGTTGAGAGCTAGAGCTAAGAAGCTTGGGTTAGGTAAGTGATTATGTTAAAAATTTAATTCAATTTTTCTGTTTTCCGTTGAGCAAAGTGGGATTACCAATTCAAGTGAAATGTTATACATGTTGTGTGGAATGTTAAGTAAAGTAGCAATAGTTTGTAATGTTTTTCCGAATTTCAGGAACGGCTTACATTCATGGTTTGAAGCATGCTTCCGGGAACTTTGTTGTGATCATGGACGCAGATTTATCACATCACGTAAGTATATCATGTCTTTAGGATGTTTATGTAAAGCATTTACGGTGTTTGATTGTTTACTTCACATATTTCACTCGAAGTGATAACCGTCCGCTGTCCAACAGTTTTATTTGAATCGGTAACTGTAAACAACGATGGGAGGGGTTGTGTGGTTTGTTAATTTGGAGCGCAAAAGAAACTTGGAAATTTTCTCTATTACATTTATGAGGGCTATCTCTGCGAAATTAAAAAATGGAGAGGATAATAGCCATTACCTTTCTATTTTACGGTAGACTGCCTCATTGGTTTAAAGCTTATTGAGTGCTTGTTATTCATATTGATAGTTAGAAATGTTTAGGGGAAATTATTGTTTGAGTAATTTCTTTCGAATCTTGTTTTATGTTGCTATTTCAATTAAGTCAAGCATTAGAATTGAATTCTCTCTTCCCTTTGAACACAAGGGAGCCCTCCTCTGGCCACTACATTGATATGCATTTTGGGTTTGTTTTCTATTCTTTTCTTGGATGTTATATGTTTCCGTAGATTTCCAACTTGTCATCACCTTCACGGTTTTATTCATTTTCTTTTCTTCTTATGATGCAGCCAAAGTATTTGCCAAGCTTCATCAAGTAAGAACAAGTTCTTTCTTGTGGTTCCCTACGATTCCATAGTATACTTCATTTCTTAATTCCTCGTGAATTTGCTTGTGGTGTGTTTATTAATAGGAAACAGCTGGAAACTGGTGCAAGTATAGTTACTGGAACTCGTTATGTCAGAGGTGGCGGGGTCCATGGATGGAATCTTATGCGCAAACTAACAAGTAGAGGAGCCAATGTTCTTGCACACACACTACTATGGCCTGGTGTATCAGATTTGACTGGATCATTTCGGTACAAGATTTGATTATTGTATTGAGTTATGTACTGTATCATGCTTAACATGATCATAGGACTGACATTTTTGTGGTTCTTTTGTAGGCTTTACAGGAAAACAGTGCTTGAAGATATCATTAGTTCCTGTGTCAGCAAGGGCTACGTCTTTCAGATGGAGATGATAGTTCGTGCTTCTAGAAAAGGATACCATATCGAAGAGGTAGATACAATTATGTCATGCATGTTTGCCTTAACCTTGTGGTTGAAATAGATAGTACCATGGTCACGAAGCAAGCTTTGCATTTGTCACTGTTGCTTTTGTCGACATCATCGGAAGTATCAATCTTCTTATAATTGGTGCCCATGTCTTTTTTTTGTTTCTATATTGACTGCCACGTACACCCTCCCCATATTTCTATCTTTTAATAACAAACAAAATGGGGCTTGTGTCTGTTTTCATGCCTCCTACCATGAATGGTTTTCTCTGTTCTTATTTTGAGTTTCACATTCTTCGGACACTAGGATGTTGGTTGTAGATTATGGTGAAGCCTTGTGCTTATCAGCTTTGCATTTGTTGGATTTAAGATGTATTGCTAGCTTGAGGATATTTTGAAATAGGCACTTAAAAAGTACACTATGATTCCTTCATTTTGAAAAGTACACTAGGAACCAATAAGAGATGCCCACTGATTTTTTAAACAGAGCATCGAAGTTATTCGGGAACTGGTGTATTTGTATCCACTGATAGCTTACCGTTGTATGTAGTGTTAATTTGGTTCAATGTGAAACTGTGAAATTTTGACGGCATTCAATATAAGAAATTCATGAACATATTTGATAAAATGCGACAAATGTAAATGCCCTTCAAAAGTACAAAATAATTTGTGCACTAGGATTCTAGAATCATCAGTCTCGTTTGCTACCCTGCTGCTTTGATGACTTTTCTTTTACAATGGCCGGTAATTTGTGAGCTAGAATTTTATAAGTATTGTTTTCATAGTTAATTTTAGATAAACGTAACCGTTGATACGATGTAATAGAATCGAGAGTATTATTAACAGTTGTTTGCGTGCTCATGCAAGCCCTTGCATATTTGAATTTGGTTTTCACCTAAATTTGCCCGTTCTCTTCATTTTTGGCTTCAAATAACTGCATTATTGTCTGATCCTCGGACTTTTTGCCTGTTGTCCTCAGGTTCCAATCAGTTTTGTTGACAGGGTATATGGAATTTCAAAGCTTGGAGGATCTGAAATTGTCGAATATCTGAAAGGCCTCGCCTATCTTCTCGTTACAACATGAGATGCATAAATTACACCTCGTATTCACCCTTTATCCGCTTTTGCACCCAATATGTAAACGCTTAAAGTTACATTTAGCTTTTTTTCATAAATTCTAACTGATTTAGAACAATTTTGAACCGAGGGAACGATATAAATTTGTTCATATATATTCTTTTGTTTGTACTTTGTAGTTGCTTCTTGTAATGCTCGGGAAGTAGACCCGTCGCAATGCCTTTGTTAACTACTTTTCAGCTTCCATTGTTCGTGCTCTTTATAAGAGCGCTCCATGAACCGCGGCAAAATCCCGGCTGAATATTAGAACCAAAAGCAATATGCCCTTTGGTCCTAAGATCATCTTCAATGGTGACCTAAAACTTAAAATTATTTAGCTCAAAAAATTTAGGTTTTAACCCAGAAACAGTTTTTCTACTTCAATCCTTCTCGCCTAAAATTTTAGCCCCAGATTAGCAACGAAAGAATGAATTAAGGCTATTTTTTTTAAATTAACTTAAAAAAAAAATTATGTAGACTATCCTAAATTAATTTTATGAACATTTTAACATAAAAATATTTAAATTCCGATAAATTTTGATAAATCACTAAATCAATACATGAAAATCATGATAAACCACATAAACTTGAAAAAAAAAAAAAAAATTGAACCTGGACCGTTGGATTAACCAACGCCCCATTTAAATGTAGCCGTTGGGCCTACTTATTGCATTGACAGGCGGGGGAACACCCCCACGTGGGGCTGTTGGTTTTCTGCAAATGCCTAGCGAATAGGCGAGTAGGGAAAGGGAACTGGGCTTCACAGCCCCGGTTTCAGTCTCAGTTGGTGGGGCCCATTTTGCTTTGTGGCCTAAAACTGGGCCGGTATTTGACCCTCAAATGAGTTTTAGGTTTTAGGTTAATTTTGGGTCATGGGTTGGAGTGGATTTTTGGAGGGGGGGAAGGAGAAATTTTAGGTTATAAGTCATCATTGGAGATGGTCTAAGCAGAGGAAAAAGATTTTTCAATTTTCGGGTGCTTGGAAGTGATTTTTCTTGCACTTTATTAACGTTTTTAGTTGTCAGAAAGTTCTTTTAATCCTTTTGAAAACGGTTTTAAATGTGCCCGTAGAATCGTAGATTGAGGGGAGTTGAGGAGTTGACACGACGAATGTTTGTGGTTGGGGTTGGTTGAGCAGTATCTCTGGCATGACTCAACTGTGCCTCCAACCTGATATGACCATGGTTTCTCCATGCTGTCATGGATTATGAAATTTATGTAACTTGTTTCCGAAGTTGTTGACTATAGTCATTGGATTAAACCCTTAATTTTAAACCATTGAAAAGAATGTTTCATTCTATATAATTTCAAATCTTGACCAAAATAGATAAAATGGTAATGTGAAAATGATATCTAAATTGTCCAGGTATGCGATAAATAAATTCTATTTGAGAATGATATTTCCTTGAAATTGCATATGAAACATTGAATTTTAATAGGAATTTTATTTATTTATTTTTCCTTTTTTTATGTGATAGTAAACGAATAATATATCAGGAATGAGAATGACATTCATCCTTTGTATTCACATTTCTGATAATTAACACGTTTTTTATAACAAAATAAATAATAACTGTTTGTGTTTGATTATCTCGTTTCTTAATATCTCTATTTTATGAAGAAAAAGAAAATTCCGAAGACATGCTTCAAACTCATGATCCCATATACATTTTGGAATGTGCTATTCGCACACTTTATTTTACTTCTCACACACCTCTTGATAATTTCTGTCCGTTAATCTTCTTCGATTCGTCCGATCCGATGATCGAAAATTAAAAATACGTGTAAGAAGTAAAATAAGGTGTGTAAATATCACACCCCTACTTTTTTTTATGTCCGAATACAATAAGATGAGCACGCTATCTTGACCAACAAAATTAAATTCCTTATTTTCTTTCCTTCTAATTCTAGCAAACCGTCCCATCACCTCACCTAGTCTTTCCTTAAACACGTTGTGCTGCTGATCTAACCGAGCTTTACCAAACTTCCAAAATCCCCAAATATTCATGTTCTCCTCCACCGCTTCAACTTCTTCTTCCTCCTCTGCTTCTTCTGGTTATGCCGAAGCCACAGACCCTGTAAATTTTTTTATTCAGGTTCGTAGCCAAAAGGTAAGACAATCCACTCTCCTTACAACCCCTTAATTATCACTTTGCTTTTAATTTAATTTAATTTTTTTCACAGAAATTTTTCATGTGAATTGTTCGGGAAATTGGAAATTGGATTAAATTGGGGGTTTTCTACTTTCTAGGGGTTTGAGTAAGATTCAGGAGCACGGAAGTAATGGGGGGTGAGAAAGAGAGTGAAAATGGAGAGTTACTTGACCTGGAGAAGCAGCAGCTAGGTGGCGGCGGTCCTGAGACTAGCTCACTTCCCAGTTTGGCAACTGTGGATACGGTGCTGCCGCTACAACAGGTTGTCGTTTCGGGTGGGGCATCATCGGAAGTTCATGAACCGCCGACTGTCACCGCCACGGTCAATTTTTCAGAGGAGGTTCCTTCTCCCAAAAAGGACCACCTGTCGAGGACTTCCAGCTCTCATGAACAATGCAGGCGAGTATCGAAAAATCGCTGGATTTTCAATTACAATTTAATGGTTTATGATCATATGGTTTTTGAAATTGAATTTTATTATATTGGGTTTTTTGTGCTTGTTCCTCAGAGTGTGTCAGCAGGAGAAAGATGAAGTTTTGATTGATCTCGGATGCCAATGTCGAGGCGGGCTTGCGAAATCCCACAGATCATGTATAGACGCTTGGTTTCGCTCCAGGGGATCGAACAAATGCGAGATATGCCAGTAATTCCCTCACTAATTTCATTGGCAAGTTGTAAAATAGCTCACTTGTAAAGTCAGATTTTATAGAAAGATCTAATCTGTTTATGCAGAGGGGTAGCAGCAAATGTTGCATCTCCAGAGGCTCAGCCAACTGTATGTATTCTGAACCTTTGGGTGTAACGGATAGCTTATGCTCATCAAGCCATAACTTAACATATCTGTGCGGAATTAGCGTAGCTAAAGGGATATTCCACCAGCCAAAAGTCTTGATCTATAACTTCAAAGAATAGTATTGTACTATAGACACTAAGCAATTTGATAGCCGTTCCACTTTTATGTTTGATATCGGACTCTTTCAGAGTTTTTCGGTACCCAAAATCTTACTGGTTATCCATTTTTTATTCTTTTCTAACTTAGTGTGTAGTTTAGATAGCCGTTCCACTTTATGTTTGATATCGGACTCTTTCAGAGCTTTTTGGTACCCAAAATCTTACTGGTTCCATTTTTTTTTTATTTTCTAACTTAGTGTGTAGTTTGGACTGTCCTTAGATTTGAACTTTTAAGTTTCGGAGTAGTGATCCTGAACCTAATTGTCTCAGGAATAGAGTAGGATTTTTTTTTTGGATTGTGAATTATTACGTCTGAGCATAGATTTATGGGACTGCCATTACCCATTTTTATGTCAAAATTTAACTCTCAGTGTATTTGCAATAGCAGGCAAGCTACTGGGTTTGGAGAGTTGACTCATCCTACCGATCACAAAATCGAGACAGGGTAAGGAAGACACTAATCAATCTACTAGATTATTAGTAACCTTGATGAATAACGTTGTTGATGCAATGATTTCGACTGCACCGGTCTTTGTTGCAGGGTTGTGTAAGCCCACTTTATGTGGCGTTTTCAATCCTTATAGGTGGTCTACTGTTGGACGTGCTAATTTCGGTCACCCTTGGTGTCTCCGCACTGCCCATCAACATCATTATAGGTACGCTTGTGCCCATCGATATGTAAAAATTTGATTTGTTCAAGAAATTAGTATGATTGGTGGTATTGCTTGTTGAACTGTAATCTGTAAGAGACGTTGTACATGTACAGGTATTATTGTGGTTCTTGGACTCGGCACTGCACTGAGACTTGCCCTGGAATTCTTCCACGAGTGGAGTGTGAGGAGAGTCGTGCGGAGAGTCGACGCAAGTCACACGAATGTGCCTCTTGGTTACCATCCTACTTTTTAGGTAAAAGTTGTAAGTAACAAGATGATGTAGAAGTAGAAATTTACTTGATTGCGCGGATGGAGGAGGGAGGGTATACGTTCACTTTGTTGTTTGTTTTGCTAGGGCACCCATTGCCGTTTTACCTCAACCAAATGTACCATTTACTATTTTATTACTTGGTTTTTGTAATAAACTTGTTATTTCATTATTTGAGCACACGTTGTATAGAACTGCGCATCCACATTATCTTCAAACCGAAAAATGCTAGACTCAGTCAATAATTGTGAGCCGTTGATGCATGTGGGTCTTACAAGGCATGCTTCAACGGCTCCCGACGATCATAGTCTATCTGATCTCAACCGAAGTTTTCATTAGAGCTATGCTAGTATTAGTTGCACGTGCTTGGATGACACAATACAAAGCGATCAGAGTTACCAACGTAATTTCTTGTAGAACAAAGCGTGGAATCATCAGGAAATTGAGAGAAATCCCAATGTTGTATTTGATTAATTCTTAATGAATGCCATAGATACATTAAGATGACTTAAATAAAGATTAGAAACGTTTGGACCAACTCAGAGGACTTCTAGAATTAAATCAACATAATTAATATGAATCGGATGACAAACAAAGAGTGATTTTTATTACGAAACTTTAAACACTTTTTTAAGGTTAAAACGGGCTGAGACTACCCAGGATGGCCAAAATCCATCGTATAAGACTTATGGTGTTGTTCCTTTTTCAAAAAGGTATCATGAGCTCAAATCGGAGTTTGGATACCAAATCTGTAAATTTCAAATGCATCCTTTTATCTTCAAACTATATATATTTTTTTTAATTCATTCTACCATTTATTCTACATCTATTGAATAATTGTGATTTGATAATGTACATGAATTTTGCAATACATCGACGACTTTGAATCGCGAATGACTGCATCGACAACTCACCATCGCCAACTGCTCATTAGAGTTTACTTAGCGGGGTGAAAAGTACCGGCCGACCAGGAACATAGGAAGCCGTGGGAATATCATTGGGGTTCGAACAAGACTTTGCTTTTGTGCTACAAACCCCACAGACACACAGAGACGGTATAATCATGTGGAGCACCGCCGGAGAATAAAACTTTTTGTTAAAGGCAGCAACAAGTGGCGACATTTTACTTTGGAGTTGGTGCTTTTGTTTACCGAAAGCCTGCAGTAAAATAATTGGCATCCCAAGAATGCAACTACTGCACGATTTTGCTTCTTGATTTTCCAATTTTTCTCCTCGAGTATTTTACAAGTACAAGCAAACTAGCTACTGAAATTGGCCATCCAAAAATACTCGTCTGTTTTTTCTTCTATTTTTGGCTATTGACCGCAATCATTACAATGGTATATTAAATTTAATTAGTAATGATCAAAGTATGATGTATTATAATTCATAAGATTGTTCTTCTGCTCAAGGCAGAAAGCAAGCACGTTCACACTGCCATAACATTGAAAAAACAATGTTTTGTGTTTTGCTTTTAAGGGACGATATTTGAGGTTTTCCTAGTGCTAAGTTACCCAATGGATTAGTCATAATTCATTATCAAACTTATCATTCATAAATCGTTGCAAACGAAGAAGATTGTTATTAGATCCTTATACTAGTGGCAATAATCTATGACTTCTAATCACCCTTTGGGAAGTTTGGTATTAAATTATCATGCTCTTATGCACCAAAACTGATCTTTTGAAATTTGACATATTTACTTAAAAAAAAAAAATTGTTGCTGATGGTTTGGTTTATTGGGGGTTTATCATGCAGTTTTGGTCTAGTCTTTTTCGAGCAACCTCCTCCTTCTTCTTTGTAGTCGGTTGCTAGTTGCGGATATAACTGAGATTTTCATGGCCTCGTGATATGCTTATGTAATCTTTCTTTTTCTTTCGGGCTTATGCCCTGTTGTCAACCGAGAAGGAAGCCATGTGATATGTCTTACTTGCCATGCTTGCTTGCTTTGTTTGGTGAAGTTATGATAGATACCTAATTTTTAAAGATGAAAAATGTCATACAAAATTTTCTATTCCTGATGTTGGTGAACCACACGATAATGGTTATGGGGGAAGATGAAATGCTTTTATTAGTCTTTTTAGCCTCCAAAAAGATAGATTGTCATAGCAAAACTACAACTGATCCCTTTTTAAAATAAAATAAATTCTCATGCTTATTGTATGCAAAACATGTTCATACCACATCGCCGAACTTACATAAATTACCGTTACAATTTCCACTGCAGAATCAGAGCGGTAAAAAACAAAAGTCAAAAAGTTAAAAACAGTACGGAATGGGAATTTGCGTGATTGCATATCACGACAGCACGAGACGAGCCGACACTTGGCGCCTCCTTCTCCTGCCTCTTAAGCAATCGGTCAAACAATGCAGATCCCCTACGACGCACGCACGAACAACCGCTTCAGTCAACCCAATCAGAACCCGGTCAAGCTTCTAGTCAACTCAGTCCACCAATCCCGAGCTTGGTAAATCCACATAAAAGCGAGCGAGTGACAGAGCGAGAAAACAGGAAGCTGCCCACATTTTTTCCCCAAATTTCCGACCCATAAAGTATTCGTCTTTGCTCTGAACAAGCAGCAGGGTTGCGAAACTATTTAATTTTTCTGCGAGCTAGGGTTTTGAGAAATTGGGAAATTTGAGGAAGATCAGTGGTCGGAGATGGCGGAGCTGTCGATGGAATCGCTGCCGTTGGGGTTCCGGTTCAGGCCCACGGACGAGGAGCTCATCAACCACTACCTGCGGCTGAAGATCAACGGCCGTGATTCTGAGGTCCGAGTCATCCCGGAAATCGACGTTTGCAGATGGGAGCCTTGGGATTTGCCAAGTAATTGTTTCTCTCCATCTCTGTCTTTTTCCTGTTTTTGGGGGGTTTTGAATTCGAATTTATGGTCGTTGTTTATTTATTGGGTATTTGGAATTTCTGGATAAGAATATTTAATTGGCTGGATTGAGAATTTTCCTTTATTCCATACATCACCAGTGAATAATTCCTCCTTATTGCTATGCAGATTCATTGCGTAATTCCACTCTAATTGTGATAATTTAAATAATAATTCAAATTTTTAATTACCCATTTCGAATATTGTTGTAAGCTTGTAGATGTAAGTAGTGAATTTTTAATCTGCCTGAACTGAGGTATCGATTGTAATTGTAAGGGATAATACGAATTTTTAAGTACCCAATTTGAACATAGTAATAAAGCTTGAAGCTTGAAGCCTTAAGCTGTACATAAGTGTAATTGGTGTCGTTGTGATATGTGTTGCGCAGAATTATCAGTGATAAAGTCAGATGATCAAGAGTGGTTTTTCTTTTGCCCCCGGGATAGGAAGTACCCAAATGGCCATCGGTCAAATAGAGCCACTGATGCTGGATACTGGAAGGCCACAGGGAAGGACCGGACCATAAAGTCCCGTCAGTGCAAGTCTGCCTCTAACAGCAATGGCCAAGTTGGGATGAAGAAGACGTTGGTTTTCTACAGAGGTCGCGCCCCTAAGGGGGAGCGCACCAGCTGGATCATGCACGAGTATCGTGCCACTCAAAAGGAACTTGATGGCACTGGTCCGGGCCAGGTACTCCCTCCGCTTAATACTTGCCTTATTCATCCATTTTTCGCATATATATATACTTGGGTATGGTGCATATTTTTAAACTGGTCTGTACTGGCACTGATAAATAAATTTGTACTTCTTCTGAATGATGTCTAACCAACTCTCTGATACAGGGTGCCTTTGTTCTCTGTCGCTTGTTCCATAAACCAGAAGAGAAGGCTGATGTACCAAAGTATGACGAAGTTGAACAAACTGGTTTATCTCCTACCCCAACTAAGTCATCTCCTGATGAGTCCTCAGATATAATTCAGGAAACAGCTACATCGGAGATCCAAGGTGAAAATCAGGCGGAAGGTATCATGAGGTGGTTGACTGATAATTCTGACAACGTGACCCCTGATGCTCTCCCACCGCTACCTGATTTTTTTATGGCCTCTGATGTGGAAGATCAAGGAGCAGTAGAAACAGGGATCCAGGTAAGATGTGCATTCTTTGTTTTGTTTCTGTCACATTCATAATTGTACTCCTAAATTTGTACACAAGTTTACAGATGTTAACAACCAGTGACCAAATATTGTGATCTTTGTGCTTCTCAACTGTAGGGCCATCTGACAATGGAAGAAAATCCTGCATTCTATGAGTCTTTGGGCGGCCCGATTGATTGCAAAGTATTCTCACCGTTGCATTCGCAGATTAATGCAGAGCTGGAACATTTTATGGGTTCACCTTTTACCAGTGACTTTGGCAATTATGATAATGGATTGCATTTTCAGGACGGCACATGTGAACTGGATGTATCCCTCACAGAGTTGTTGGATGAGTTCGGCAATAGCCATTATGAGAGCTCTTGTGAGGAGTCAACAAGTCAGAAGAACTTGGTCATTGGAAATGAGACCTATTTATCTGGTAATGCGTGCACCACGCCGCCAGTGAACTCATGTTTCAATGGTGCATGGGATAACACGGACACCAATATCACCCAGGTATGGGCAAATTAAATAATTTCTTGTTTCTTGTAACCCACAATTTTGGCAATTCTTGGTTGTTTTCCTGTCAAGCCTGTTTAGTCTTCTTCATGGAACTGAAATTCTAAAATTAATCTTTTGAAATCAGTTCGTAGTAATTTAGAAATGAAGGCAGACAGTAAACTTTTGCTTTGTTCTTGTGTACCAGCATGATCTGCAAAGGATGGCATCTGGCTTGTACAATGAGCAATTTGGTTCCGAGGATCTGCAGAACACCTCATTTGGTTATTGGCAAGCTGAAGCCCAAGCATTGCTTGATGACCAAAAACCTAGAATGGGAAAGATGGCGGACAGTTATTTATCTGAATGCTCATTTGCTGAGCAATTTCCTGTGAGTTCAGTTAATGATGGTTTGGATGATTCAAGAAGTTGGAATCATGGTGTTGACCATGTTGGTGGAACTGGAATCAAGATTAGGGCTCGTGGTCCTCAACTACAACCAAATACAGATAACTTTGTATATCAGGGCACTGCTGCAAGAAGACTTCGTTTATCAGTGGACCGTTCATCTGGGTCAATTACCAATGGCAATGAGAGCGATGAAAACTACAGCAGGGAAGATGATGAAGTCCAATCAACTATTACACAGGTAAGGGTGTCCTTGTGAAGCTAACTTAATAATTCTTGTAACATGCATTTATCTAACTTTACACTGATTGTTTCATGCAGCCTAGAGAGGATATAGGGCAGAGTCCTACTTCTGATGAACAGGAGGAAGAGCATGCAATATTCAACGACAAAGAAGAATTATCCAGCAGGAATAATTCTATTAACCATGGTTGTGATCCTGATGGTAGAAGTAGAATCATGATTAGGACTCGGCAGCCTCAACAACGATCAAATTCAGACAGTTCAGTAACTCAGGGCACTGCTCCTAGGAGGATCCGTTTGCAGATGAATATTTCATCTGGGTCCATTGCTGATAGTAATGTGAGAGACACAGATGACGGGGGAGAAGATGAAGTACAATCAACTAATACTGAGGTAAGGGTCTTTGTGAGACCAACTTAATAACTCTGTTGTCGCTTATGCATTTTTAACTTTAACTCTGATTGTTTCATACAGGCTAGAGAAGCAATACAGCAGAGTCTGACCTCAGATGAACAGGAGAAAGGGCATGCAGAAATCAATAATGAAGACTTGGCCACTATGAAGAATTCCGTCAGCTATGATTCTGATGTTGTTGGTAGAACTGGAATCAAGATCAAGGCCCCTGAGCCTCAACAACCATTAAGTTTAGATGATTTTGTAACTCAGGGCAGTGCTCCTAGAAGAATCCGTTTGCAGATGAAAAGTTCACCTTGGTCAGTTGCTGATAGCAAAGTGAGAGATACAACCCCTGGTGAAGAAGATAATGTACAGTCAACTGTTCATGAGGTAAGGATTATCAACGAAGCCAACACGAGCATGCTCTATACATATGTTAGATGTTCTAAGTGAGCAATTTTGTTCCTTGCAGGTCAAAGAAGCCAGAGAGAAGATTTGTAATTTCGATGGGCAAGATGCAGAGTCCCATCTTTCGAAGTCAGACGTGAACAGGAAAATAATTGATGATTCACCAACAAAACCAGTTGATGAGAGCAGTGGAACTGCTGGAGAAGCCCCAAGAAAATTGAGGTTAAGGACAGCAAGGGATGATGCATTACCCAGCAACCATATTGGGAAGTCAATGCCTTCAAAGACAATGCCTAAAGGCCACGGCCTGAGTCCTACATTTGTTATTTCGGTTGGTATTCCTTTAGCTGTAACCCTGTTCGTTGCGTTTAGTGGGATTTGGATGACATTTAGACCTTGATGTTGCTCGGAAGATGCCACAGGCGATTGGTGCTTCGTTCCACGATGTGTTTACTTTTAAGTTGAAACAGTTATTAGGCTTGTAAATTGCATTATCATATGCGCTTGCGGATGTAACCTTGGGTGAGATAAATAATGACATAGTTTGTATTATTATTTCATCTGTTTTTGAGTTGGTTTTGTTTTCAATTGGAAGCATAGCGTACAAGAAAATACTTGGGCTCCTTCTCTTGCAAGTAGCCACTCCTACAACCCACCAAATATCTAGCACGTGTTGAAATTTTTTCGTGTTTTTTGTGTAGTGTATGCATGTGTCTAATTGTGATTTGGAGAAAGTATGGATACTTCTATTTTTACAAGAAATGAGTCAAGCAATGACCTAACTTATTAATTACAAAAGATATACAGTGTTGTTCGTAGCTACGTTACGAACACAATGGTGTTTGGGACAATCATTTACGTGCTTGTGAGTGATACTCTTATGCATTGATATAGTGAGGTCACATTCGCTCTGGTTGAGGGTAAACTACTCAGAATAAGGAGTTCCTCACACATTTTGTAAGTGACGTGACACTCAATTAATAATGTAGTGGGATCACATTTGCATCAATAATTGATAATCATTCGTACGCTTTATGATAATCTCGCACACAAAAAACACTCAAATCAGTCCATCCGATTACAGATTACAGTTGGATCAACAGTAATCAAGTAGTCACAATGAGAGAGGATCCTCGCCGGATTCTCTTTGTGAGGATTCCGGGAATCCTCCAATCATATTCGTTCATCGTATATCGTGTAACTAGTTTTTGTCAGGTATTGTTTATATTCAATTTTAAATAAAAAAATTTATAATGATTTTTAACCTCACAAATAAGATGTTGCGAGAATCTTCCTGGAGTCACAATGACATCTAACCAACAGAATGATGACATTAAAACAGCCGGCTATTAGGTGGGTTTTGCCGTTTTGGTCGGAAATCGGAAACAGCGGGCTAATGAAACGCCACAAGAATAACAAAGCTGCTTTGATAAAAAGAAAACAATATAAATATCAAAATTAAAAAAACCAGACCCTATATAACGTATAGAATGACTTGCATGTGGCATGGATTCTCTGTGATCTTGGTCTTTTGATTTAATAATATAAGTTACATATAAATTTCGTTTGAAATAATAATTTCACGTTAATTGAGTGATTTATGTGCTTAGAACACAAATTAATAATTACGTGTTACAATATAAATAAAAATATATTTTTTAGTGGCATTAGTTTATTGGTTGGTTACACAAAAAAATTATTCATAGTCGTGAACCCGTTTCATGCAAATTTACTGTCTTTTAGGGAGTGTAGTCAAATTAGGATTTGATAGTATTTTAATAGACTTTAAAATTAGAGTGTAGTCAATTAGGAGTTTAAATGTGAATTTTAAATGATTTTAAAATCATAGGGTAGTCAAATTAGGATTTTGGAGGATTTAAAGAACATATCCAAATCCATGGATAATCAATTAAAAGTTTAAAAAGTCCATCAAATCAAGATGTAGTGGAAATGTCAAGGATTTGCTAGGATTTTTGTGAATGAAGGATTTTAATGGATTTGAGAGTGTGTGATATAAATACCAAATGCTATCAACAATCCAACCCTCCCCGCTCAGATTTCTTTTCACACCAAACCATAGAAGATGAATAGTCCTACCATGAGTTCAGAGCATTTCCCAGTAGACTCCCGCGTTTTGAATGTTTCTTGTATTTTTCTGAATTCATGCTCTTGGTTTGTTCATCTAGGAAGATGAGTAACAATCGGACCATAATTTGCTTGAATTGGGATTATAGTTGTTTTTTTTTTTTTTTTTTTGAACACCAGTTACCATATCATAAAAGGCCTACAAAGAGGCAAACAAACATACAATAACAAGCAATGACAAGGGGTAAACCACAAAGACCCCTCCACCAAGTAGAAGCGTCACCCCCGACACCACCAAAACAAATTAATGAGGACAAGGTAGCCCGTCATTATTCAATACAAAGACCAACGAAGATGGGGGCCTAACGGCCCAAACGACATCACTCATCTCCGTAAAACTACCCGATGCAATCTTGTGAGCCACGCCATTAGCAGAACGGGGCACCCAAGACCATCGGCAATCAAGAAACTTCCCCCCCAGCTGTTTAACCTGAGCCAGCACCGGGAATGCCTCCCAACTACCCCTAGACAGCGAGCTAGATAAACAATTAATCGCTTCAAGGGAGTCCGACTCAAGAATTACATACCTTACACCCAGGTCTTCACCTAGCTTGCACCCGTGCAACAACGCATAAGCCTCCGCTGCAGCAGCAGAAGGAGCAGAAATAGCATACCGCGCTGCAGCCACAAATTTTCTCTCCATGTCCCGCGCAATCAATCCAACAAATCCCATCTTTGAGGCCTTGGACCAACTAGCATCCACATTAATCTTCACAAAAGGATAGGCCGGAGCACACCACTGCGCCACCTGGGTACCCCTCCTCCCGTCACACCCTCCCCTCACCCCAACCATAGCCTTAGCACCAATAAATGAGCTCATAGCCGCAGATACATCAGCCAATACTTTTAAAGGGTTAACAGACATCCCTTTGAAAACAAGATCACAGCGAGCTTTCCAAATACACCAACAGGTAAAAACAATATATGATTGTCTCCATATTGTATCTCCAAAGTTGCATAAATTCGGAGAGAATACCTTCTGAATCCATTCCAGCCAAGACGGAAGAGAAAGACGATCCAATTTATACCCCAAAGCCCCACCAAACCAAATTGGCTCAACCCAAGAGCAAGAAAGGAAAATGTGCTCAATGGTTTCATCATGGCAGCAGCAAATAGGACAAGTAGAGGTCAGAGAGGACCGTCGTCGGTACAGGGCTTCCCGAGTAGGAAGACAATTATGCATCGTAAGCCACAAGAAATGACGCAACTTGGGGGGCACCTCCAGCTTCCAAATCCCCTTCCAGAACTCCTTAGGAACCCCACGAACAAAAGGCCGACGCTTGTCCCTCCTGGCCATTGATCTACCTTGCAGCCATCTATAACCCGACTTGACCGAATACGATCCGTTCTTACTCAAATCCCAGATAAGCCTATCATTACGACTTAGATCCCCCAGAGGCGTCTCCTCAATAGCCTTCAATGCCTCCCCCGATAAAAATGGCTCTAAAAACCTAAGATTCCACCGCCCCGACTCCGAACAGATAAGCGCACTGACCCTCAAACTGGGAGTAACCGCAACCTGGCCAACCGGCACCGGATGTCCAAGAGGCAAGGATGGAAGCCACCTATCCTGCCACACCCGCACCTCCTGACCGCCTAAAATCTGCCAATGGGAACCCTCCTTGATCACGTCCCTTCCACAGATGAGGCTGCTCCATGCCCAAGAAGCCCTACCACCTTTCTTTGCATCCCATATCGAGCAATGGGGAAAATACCGGGCTTTAATCACCCTAGCCCACAGCGAGTCCGGTTCCGTGATTAACCGCCAACACTGTTTAGCGAGCAGAGCATCATTAAATTCCATAAAGTTTCTGAAGCCTAAACCACCCAAGTCTTTTGGCAAACCCAAAACCTCCTTTGAGACCCAATGAATCTTTTGGGCTCCCTCCTTGCAACCCCACCAAAATCCAGCCACCAACGCATCCAATTCCTGACAAACGGCGGCGGGGAATTTGAAAATGCACATTGGGTACGCCGGAATAGCTTGGATAACAGCCTTAATTAGAACCTCTTTACCAGCACGAGATAGAGTACTTTGTTTCCACCCTTGTAGCTTTTCCATTACTCTTCCTTTCACATAAGCAAGACCACGCCTTTTCGACCGACCCCAAATAGCAGGGACCCCCAAATAGGTCCCCGGATTGCTAACCACCGCCATACCAAGGGCATTCCCCATCTGATCTGCGTTCACCTTCGGAACATTTGCCCCAAAGAAAACACTGGATTTCTCCAAATTAACCTTCTGCCCAGACGCCACACAAAATTTGTCCAGAATGTGTTTCAAGTTCCTGCAGTTTTTCACATCTGCCCGCAAAAACAGAAGGGTATCATCCGCAAAGAAGAGATGAGAAATCACGGGTCCAGATCCACCAATCTTCACCCCCTCCAGCCTACCTTGGTCCACCGCACCCTGAAACAGTTTGGAAAGAACTTCCCCCACCAAAATGAATAAATAAGGAGAAAGAGGATCCCCCTGACGGAGACCCCGCGAGGGAGCAAAAGACTCTCCAGTCTGCCCATTTAGGAGAACAGCGAACTTCACAGACGAAACACATCCATTAATTATCGCTCTCCAACTACTGCTGAACCCCATTCTTTCCATTACCGCATCCAAAAAGTCCCATTCAACTCTATCATACGCCTTCTGCATATCCAGTTTAATCCCCATTTCAAATCTATTCTTGGCTTTCCTTCCCTTCAAATAATGAAACATCTCATGGGCTATGCCAATGCAATCCTGAATTTGTCTACCCGCCACAAAAGCATTCTGAGATGGCGATATGATTTTAGGCAATAATACCTTCAACCTGTTAGCAAGAATCTTTGACAGTATCTTGTATGAATAGTTACATAGGCTGATAGTCTTCTTGGAAAAACAATTTGTATGTTGCGTTATCACTTCAGTTTGAATGAAAATGCAATGAAAATGAAGAACCGGTTCAAGCTTTTTAATTCCGTTTTCCCACCTTCTGTGTCACAGGATGAGCTGGTAGGTTGTGATATTGGTGGATTGGCTTCTCAATCACTCAATGAATCATTAAACCTTGTAAATAAATTTTTTGCAAAGATATCTTTTGGTAAGGTTTTATTATTCCCAAAAGGTAGTCGGTCAAATGAAGCAGGCAGTGACGTGAGAGACAATCCTTTGGACATTGCATCCAAAAAACTGGATTCTTCAAGAATGCAGTTTATGAACATATTGGTGGGTATCTGGCAATGGATTGTTAAAAGAGTCCCTTCAGTTGCTGATTGTTCTCAAAAGGAAACAAGCACAGGTACTTCCTTGTGGAGATGCTTTGAAGCTCTCATATTGATGAACATTCTTGAACTGACTGGAGAGATGTCTGATGGTCTTATTAAATTACAATCTATCCCTTTCCTAGAGCAATTGATGAAACCAGCGCTTCTATATAGGTTTGAAGATCCAACAACTTTGAAATCAATCCGAGATCTCCTAAGTGTGCTGTCAGAGGGAAAATTTTCACGTGTTCCCTACCTTCAGCTTCTACTTGCCCATTCTCAGTTTGAGCCAACAGTTCGCTCAGACTACAGATCATCTGATGGTTTCAGTTTTGGTGCATTTTCCAGGCCCATGCCTGGCATTCTAAGATCGCTTGTTGTCCCTTCCGCTAACCAAAGTGTAATTGATCACAAGTGCAATCTGGAAACAGCGGATCTGTATGCAAGACAGTTGGAGGTTGTCAAGTTACTACGGATGCTCTTTCCAATCAAGGAGCATCAACATAGTTTTGACTTTGGTAAAGATATATGCATAAATCTAAAAGAACTGCATTTACTGCTTCTGTCTTCTTATGGTGCAACACTTAGTGAAATTGATGTGGAGATATACAACTTGATACGCACAATTGAGTGTCTTGATGGTTCAAAGCCTGCCAATGTTGCTGGAATGGATCACTTGTGGGGCAGTGCCGTGTTAAAGATAGAAAAAGAACGGACTCTGGAAAGGAATATGTCTGATGATGTCTTGACTAATACTGAAGCGGTAAAAGAACGCCGTAGAAGTCAATTTAGAGAAAATCTTGTTGTTGACCCCAAAATCTGTGCGTCCACCGTGCTATATTTTCCTTATGATAGAGTGGCATCTGAAGAACTACTATGCTTGAACAAGTTTCAAACAGATAATTTTGATGATGGTCGTTTGTTGCATTCTCCTGATGCTGAATATATACAACGATATAATCCTATTTTCATCTTGCGCTTCTCTATTCATAGCCTCGCAGAGGGTTATTTTGAACCCTTGGAGTTTGCTGGTTTAGGCTTGCTAGCTATTGCATTTATGAGTATGTCATCACCTGACGACAGAATAAGAAGGTTGGGTTATGACACTCTTGGAAGATTTAAGAACACATTGGAGAGATGTCAAAAGAGGAAGGGTGTCAAGCACATTCAACTTCTGTTGACTTATGTGCAAAATGCTATAGAAGAACCATGGCAGAGAACCACATGTGCTGCTGTCAGGGAATGTTGCAGTGCAGTTGATGGAGCAGATGCTTGCTGTCCAGATTGTATTCCACATGTGCTGCTGTCAGGGAATGTTGCAGTACAGTTGATGGAGCAGATTGAACTGAAGGACTAGATCTAACATCCCCCCGCAAGCTGAGAGGACGGGACACAACTGGAAGCTTGGAAACCAGAGTCTTGAACCTTGATGACGACAAACCTTTGGTGAATATATCAGCCACTTGATCTTGTGAACAAATAAAGTTTACAAGAAGCTCACCACGCACCACTTTTTCACGTACGAAATGATAGTCAACCTCGAGGTGTTTGGTGCGGGAATGGAAAACAGGATTAGATGCCAAAGCTATCGATGAAATGTTATCACACCATAGTTGTGGACAAAGAAAAGGCAACTGTAAATCACGAAACAAAGAGCGTAGCCAAGAAATCTCTGCTGCTGTATAGGCCAGTTGCCTATACTCAGCCTCGGTGCTTGATCGGGAGACCGTCTTTTGTTTCTTGGAACTCCAGGAGATGAGGTTCGAACCCAAATATATACCATAACCTCCCGTAGAATGGCGTGTATCAGGATCTCCTGCGTAGTCTGCATCTGAGAACGCACTGAGCTGCATGCTGCCAGGTTTGTACAGCAAACCTTGTGCGTAGGTAGATTTAACATACCGTAAAATGCGTTTCACAGCCATCCAGTGGGTTGTAGTAGGAGCATGCATGAACTGACACACTTGATTAACGGCATATGAAAGATCAGGACGTGTGATCGTAAGATACTGTAAGGCCCCCACGACACTTCTGTAAGTGTAAGGATCAGGATGTGGATCACCCTCATGTAGACTGAGTTTCTGACCTGCACAGACGGGCGTTGAAATAGGCTTGGCATCAAGAAAATTGGTCCGCTTCAAAAGATCCAATGCATACTTTGCTTGACTAAGATGCATCAGATTATGCGAATAGGAGACTTCCACACCCAGAAAATAGTGGAGAGGCCCCAAGTCTTTCATTGAGAATAATGTGCGTAGCTTCTGGATTAAACGATGCATTTGCTGTGGATGATTGCCTGTAAGTAATATATCATCGACATATATCAACAGAAGTAAATAAACACCTTGTTGCTTGAAGACAAACAACGAATAATCACACTTAGATTCCTGAAAACCCAAATGAAGCAGGAAATCCGAGAAACGTTGAAACCAAGCTCTCGGTGCTTGTTTCAAACCGTACAAGCTCCGTTGTAACCTGCATACATGATGTGGGTATTGGGAATCAACAAACCCAACAGGCTGCCTCATATAGACCTCCTCCGCTAGATACCCGTGTAAAAAGGCATTCTGAACGTCAAGTTGACGAACTGGCCATTGATTTGAGACTGCAAGACTAAGTACTAATCGAATGGTACTGTGCTTGACCACTGGACTGAACGTTTCGCCATAATCCACGCCGTGTTGCTGATGAAACCCATTGGCAACTAGCCGTGCCTTATATCGGTCGATGGAGCCGTTTGCATGTCGTTTAATCTTATAAACCCACTTGTTTGGGAGCAAATTCATATGAGGTTTGTAGGGAACAAGATTCCACGTCCCAGAACGCTGTAAGGCATTAAATTCTGTGACCATAGCATTTCGCCATTCCTGTTGTTTCACGGCTTGACTAAAGGACGTAGGTTCAACAGGTGTATCAGTGGTGACAACATGCAAAGCATATTTGGGATTAGGTTTCTGGATGCCAGCTTTGGAGCGTGTTTGCATGTGATGTACGGGATTAGGTGCACAACTAAGGTCCGGTTGCTGTTCAGGTTCACTGATAATTTCTTGCTCATTGGGCATTTCTAAGGGCACAATATCAGGGTTGAGAACAGGAGGCACACTAGGGTTTGCTATGGAATCCACAGAAGAAGTTATATTTGTTGAGGGAGGATCATGGGAAAGAAGTTGGGCAGCGCTAGGAGAGGCGATGACTGGGGAGTGTGATGGAGATAAGGAAGGGAAAACAAATAAGAGATCAGATGAAGGAGAACTACCTGTGGCATGGACGCTTTCCTTCTGAACTGGGATTTTCTCATTTGCACTTTTGATTTTCTGAATTGGGCATTTCCCATTTGCACTCTTCTTTTTCCACGAATAATTGGTGTCCATGTTTTTGAGTTCAAATGTTTATTTTTTTTATTTTTTTATTTGCCATGGTTATTCCAGGATTTTGCTGCCCATATATATTCCTATTCAATTTCGATTGCCATTTGGTACTCCTTCACATATATTATTATTCATGATTGGATATGCTATTCTTGAACTTGAAATCATCATTCTTGAATGGATATGATGTTTAAAGCAGAAGCTATTCTTTACAATTATTCAAACTCTTGGATCAATATTCTCAATGAACCATTCTATTTACATATTTCATTGGTTTGTATTTATATATCAATAGATATATGATTATGTTCCTTTCAGATTGTGAATTAGGAAAGAAATTTATTTTGTGTTGTAGAAGTCAACTAAAATACTAAAAAATCCATGAAAGAAAGCCATACAAATCTATCAAAATCTATAATAGAAATCCATATAAATCTATCAAAATCCACAGGGAATTGTGAATCTATTAAAATTCTTTCAAATCTGTCACTTAAAAAAAATCTATGAAAATCCTGTGAAATCCAAATTGACTACATCTCCTACATGCAAATTGCAATGTGTAGTGAAAGGACACAAAGGATAAGGATAATGCTAGGGAGACTAAATTTGTAGACCAAAATTTTGTAAACTAAATGACATGGAAGTTGATGATTGAATTATAACTTAAGCGTTGATAAACATGTTCATTCCTATTGAAAGGACACAAAGGATAAGGGTAATGTTATGGATACTATATTTGTAGAGAAAATTTTGTAAACTAAATGATATGGAAGTTGATGATTGGATTATGATTTAAGCATTGATAAACGTGCTCATTCTTATTAAGGATTAAATTGACGTGCCGTATTGAAAGTCAGAGATCAAATTTATCGATTTTTGAAACTCAGGGATCAAAATGAGAAGTTGGATCAATGTTAAAGACCATTTGCAATAAAAACCTTTATTTTGTGTAAATCCATGTGTCACTATTTCATTGGATTTATGGGTCCGACATACAAACTAACAGAATAGTTGATGGAATCTTAATAGAAAGACCGAATTGATGTGCATTAGTAAATGTCAGAGATGACATTAATTGATTTTGAAAGTGAGAGATCAAAATGATGAGTTTGATCAATCTCAGAAACAATTTATAATAAAATTCCTTATTTAATTTATAAATTTTATCTATAATTTAGGTCTCCCTGCGGATAATGATTGAGAAAAGCCAACGGTCAGTGAGTGACCTCCGTCTTTTGTCATCTGCTTTCCTCCTTTTTCTTTTATTTTGGGTTAAAAAATATTCCAGATAAAACCGGACCCTGAATCCACAACGAGTCAACTCGTCTCAACGTGCACGTGGCAGCCAAGCACACTGGAAAGTCTGGAAAGTTCCGGGACATTTAGATAGGGGAGCCGTGGGCGCCGCTGGAAAATCCCCAAACCAAAACCAAAACCAAAACCAAAACCATATGAGATCACATGTCCTTCCGCATAAATCCACTACCCACCACCTACTTTCACTCGTTTTGTACTTCCTATAAATTGTCAAACACCAGAATCTAGAGAGAGAGAGAGTGAAGATCTAGAGAGAGAAGGTGAGGAATTTCCAGAGTCAAAAGCTTGCTTCTTTGATTTGGGTTATTTGAGTTATTAATTGGGTAAGCGAGAAAATTTGAAAAAAAAATGATTTTGGTGGCGGTGGTGACGGAGCTGATGAAGGAGTACACGGTGTTGCTGGCGAGGGTTTTGGAGCATTTGTTTCACTCGGCCCCTTTTCCGAGGAGGGTTCGGTTTCTGATCCTGAGGAGTCTTCCGTTCGCTTCTACCTACCCGCAACATCCTCCTCCTCCTTTGATTGGAGCCCCTGCTGCTTAACCATTCAAGAACAAGGCTTCTTTTTTTTCTTTTTTTTTTTTTTTTTTTTTTTTTTTTTGTTTTGTATCTAAGGCTTCCTTTGTTAGTTGTTTTTGTTTTATAATTTTCTTTTTGGAATTGTGATGCGGGTTTCTGGTTTTGTGTAAATATTTGGAGTTATTTTTACTAAGTTGGCGTAAATTTGATCGCCTTTTGGTGGATGAAATGGCAACTGTACTTTGTTCTGTATTCTTTAAAGTTAATAACTTTGGAATGCATCGATATTTGAACGGATAGATTAGAACGGTTAAAATCCAGTCATGCGAATCCAGCAGTCCAATGAACCGAAATGCAAAGGTGCATCGTTGAACTTTAACATAAATTTTACTAGCATTTGTTTACACATTTTTTTAGAAAATGAGAAGGAGAGAGGTAGAGGGAGAGAGAACGTGAGGGAAGTGAGGGGGTTTTTTTATTTTTAATATTAGAGATATTTTAACATTATTTATAGGTGATGTCACATCCCGGCTCGAGCTCCCATCACATCCTGGATTTGACTCCAACAGGTAAGGATTAAATAAAAAACAGTAAAATTTGGACTTGTGAAATTACATTATTGCTCATCATTTTTTTTGTGTGATAGAAGACTAAGTTGTTTTTTCACCCTCTTTGGATTAACAAAGAGTGTTTCATTAATTAGTAGAGATATGAACATGTATCAATTTCATATTTTGGATTTTATTATAATCATTATAAATTAATGAGTGAGAAACTCCTTCATTGTTCTGGGAGGATTCATTTCATTGTAATCCAATCACCTATAATAATCTTGGATTAGTAATTATTAATTTCATACATTGTCTAACCCATGTACTAATTACAAGAACGATTTAATCAAATTTTTAGGTATGGATAATGATTCTTCCATTATCATTGTCATGTTGTCATTATCATTACTCTTATCCTTTCCTTATTATATTTTGTTTTAAGAGTTAGCGACACTATCCTTATTCTCTTGCCAAATAGACGACTTTTACTCTTCTGATTTGAAGACCGTTTTCACTCCAAAAGGAAAGAAGCTAGTAGCTCAAGTTAGTAAGAGTATTTGTCGCGTACGAGGTTTTGAGACTGAAACATTTATTCTCTGGTGATATATCATTTGTAAATGAAAAGGAGAATCTAAGAAATTTGTCCATGATTTGTTATGTTAGGGAATTCATGGATAATCATCCTAAAAATTATAAGCCCATTAAGTAATCTTTCAAGGGACAGTAGTATATTGAACTTCCAGTCCACGACTGTCTTGATTCACAGCCCTTTGACCAAGCGGCCACAACAAGGATAAGTACCCTCCAACTTGGGCCAGAAAAGATAGCTAGAGAGTCCAATAACCCTAGTCCAATACCACACGACTTGGGCAGCAAGGTAGGTTTGAACCTTTGCTTTTGTAGTGAGGTCTTCTGTATTAACAGTTGGCGGGAGATCATGCAGAATTCTGCTCTCCCAATTCATGTAGACATGAGTACCTAGTCTTGTTGGCCAAAAAATGTCCATAAGGCTTTGGAAAACTGTTGTTAGTGTTAAAACGTGACATTTCCTTCTCATTTATTGAATTTTAAAAGTACAAAGTCTAGAATTTTGGGGAATGCTAGAGAGATTATTTTTAAAGACCGAAATTATAAATCGTCTTATGTGGCACATGATGTGACATGCCAAGTTATATAATGCAACCAAATTTATAATCTCCTAACAAAACACAATTACATTTGACAAAAAAAAAAAAAAAAAAAACACAATTACAGATGAAAGTTAGGGAAATGTGATATTTTTCACTCGTCCAATTCCATAGGTGTGATGTTTCATCATAAAGAGGATCAATACTCAACTTCAACTTGACCATGACCTAATAACCTCTTTATGCTCTTACTTGTGCTGACTTCATAAGGTACCTACAATATCCATACAAGGCTTCAATGTCTAAATGCGTAGGAAATAATATACAACAGAGAATAAGGAGCAGCCAGCACGTGATATCTTCATATAGTGAACCTAGTCTACATATTGTTTGCTCATACATAAAATTCAAGATATACTTCACATTGTAGTTAGTTGGTCCTATCAGCTTTATATTAATTAATTTTATAAATACGATGATATTACCACTACATCTAGGGTTTGGAAAAGTTTATTCTCTGGATAAACCCGATGCTGTTTTGGCAATAAAGTACAATATTATAGCAAAAAAAAGAAGACCTGAGGTAGTGATGGGCTTAAAAGTGGCAAAGAATAATTCCACATATGGATGGTAGGAAAAACATGTTGAGAACCACAGAAGGAAACCATTGACATGAACACAATTTTCTGGGGACAGGAGGAACTGAAGTGGTGCTGCAGAATATGTTCCACCTTTATTTTTATGGACCATGCAAGTCCAGGAAGTTTTGTTGAGTTCACATGTGTTTGGACTTACATAATGGACCAGCTTTAGTAACCAAGTTACATCTCACATGATTTTGTGTAAATTTCCCACTAGATTGTCAGGGACAACTCTAGTTTTTGTATGATTTTGTGTGAAATTTAAGTAACAAACGACCACAAATTGAAACCTGAAGAGCTTTCTCTTTAGCGATGTAAAAGTGTAACATCTTCATCTAAGGGAAAATATCTTTCTGGTGAAGCTAACCAAGAAGTGGTGGATTAACTTCAACAAGTAAAATCAATTTGTTAATTGATATCCGTGAAGATAAACGTATGCCAGTGTGATGGTATCCACACGATTGTCCCGCACGGAGTATTCTAGTGTATGCAAGTCTTTTTTCTGCATAGGGTCAAACACATCATTGTGTACAAGTTTGTCTCACCTTCTTAATGTGTGGTTTATTTTCCCTAATCATTTGTTTTTGGGGTTTTGCAATTTGTTTTGTAGGTTCTTACCTATTAGCTACGTTTTGTTTGTAAGAGTTAGATTTCATGTCCACCCCCACCGCCTAACCTCCTCCTTCTCTTTTCCTTGTACCTTTCTTTCAAGAGTGGTTAGGTTACTGACCTAGCTCTATGCTTGTTATTGTTTCTTTCTTTTATGAATGATAAGGTTTATGTCTCTCATGACTAGGTCACTACTACAAAAGTACCCATTAGTGTCATTTGAAAAAACGACAACAAAAGCCTATTATTGTTGGATATTAGCAAAAATCCGACACAACATCATATACCGGCGGATAAAAGAACCGACATCATTGCTTGCGTCACAAAAAAACTTTTGATTACTACAACAGTTTGGGTCTTTTACGACTTGAAATATACGGCATTCAGTACTAACATGCCTTAAATAATATTATTCACAACATTCATAAGGTTTTTGTCGTAATACTTGCGAATAATCTTGCATTCACTGCATCACTTTTGTGCCAATCGTTAAATAAAAATATTTACGCGTTATGTCGTAAAATAAAATTTTCATATGTTGAGGTTCCTATCTTTTGTGGCGCGTAACACGTCGTAAATAATGGGTATCTTTTCAGATTCCTTCCCAAATCTATAGCGGGAAGTAATGGCGCCTTAATGAATTATCAAACTTCAATCTTTTAAGACGATTCCAATTCACTTTACTCTCCTTGAACCGCTGATCTCATCTCTCAGTCTCTCTTTAGCGCGACGACACCCGGATCCACGTCGAACTCTCTCTGAGTCTCACTTGCCCTCAATAGAAATCTGATCGGACTCAGCGTGAGGTAGAGCATGTCGAACCGAAATTCTCACCTGCGACCCGCCGGAAGCAAGGTTTCCCAAAACCCCAAAAGATCTTCGTCCCCAGGAATCCAGACCACAACAATCCAATCCCTCGAGAGCCCAATCCAAATCCCAATCCCACGCTCTTCACCTCAATCCACCAATCGCTCTTCAAGCAGCAATCCAGTGCCCGAAACTTCCACTGCTGCTACGGCGCAGCCGTCGGGGAGCAGGGTTCAGATGTGGGAGAAAGGTGAGTGGGTGCCGAGCAGAGCTCGGGATGGCAATTTCGTAAATTACTTGCCCCAGTACGAGGCGGTGGCGGCTGGGCTCGGTGCTGACGAAGGCGAATTGAACGCCCTGGAGTCGCGGCGAGTGGTGGATCTTCTTAACAGAGAGCTCTCTCGCTAGCTGAAGTTAAACCTAAGGAGTTTTGGCGACAAGGTAAAATTACTGCTATGTCAATTACATCTTGACTCGCAAAAGCTGAAAACTTAACACCGAATAATCAATTTGTTGTTAATATTTTCACTGTTTTTGTGTTGCTGCTGCCCCATTCTTGTCAGTGGCTAGTGATACATCGTTTCATGAATTTCTGGATAGTTTTCTGCAGTTTAGGAGTAGGTGGTATGATCTCCCTCATCGTGTCACCAAGGAATTGCTGATAGTTGTTGAAAACGAAAGTTGTTTGCTTGCCCTTGAGTTGCTGTGAAATTTGAATCATAATTCTTTAAGTGCTTTGTATTTGAAAAAAAGATTGGAAATGAGTCTCTTGGGCAAGCCATTTGATTTCCCCCACCAATCAAATTGGGTGGCTTAGCCTATTATACTTGCAACATTCTCGATTCTTTTGATTGTGAGCATCGTTTTGACTTATATCTGCTAATCTTCGTTCACTATTTATTTAACTACAGGCATCCCAGCAAGTTGCTAAGCCCCTTTACGAAGATGCTAAGGTTGTACCAACTACTTTGTACCAAAGCAAGTTGGAAACATGTACACTGCATATCTTTATGTGGCATTTGTATCCCTTCTTCACAACAAGCACAGCTCGCTGTTGAATGCCATAAATTTCTTATCCAAAAGGCTCGACTTCTCGACCTGAAAATTTTGGTCTAACAAGTTTTGCTTTATAACAGGATGGCAAGCGCGTGATACTGTTCTCTTATGGAAGTGGCTCAACTGCAACCATGTTCTCATTGCGTCTCAATGCTGATCAACGGCCCTTTAGCTTGGAGAACATTGCAGCCCTGATGAAAGTTGAAGGCAAGACATGATGTACTAGTTCATTTCCTTCTTTTTCTATAAGCATTGTCGTACCATTCAATGTACGGACAAGTTTTCTTTTTCTCAAGTAATGCTTGCATCTTTACGTAATCTTGGTTACAATGTGATTCCAATAAATCATAATGCTCATAACTTTGTTTTTGAACTTGCCATGTTGAAATCCTTGGCACCACGAAAGCCATTTTTCCTCTGCCCTGAACTTTGTCATGCATGATATGCATTTAATAAAATCACTAAACCCCATATAACGAATGATTACACCACGTTTAATTGAGTGCAATTGAAATATTAGACCATGTATTATCCAATGGAAGGTTGGTCGAATTATAACGCTTGATAAATTAGAAAAGCACCTCGGTAAGGAATTCATTTATCGAACAGATGCTTTTCATGCAGTTCTCTCCGGAGAAGTTTGTTGAAGTGATGAAGATCATGGAGCACAGGTATGGAGGCATAGACTTTGTGAGCCACCATAGATGATGATATTTTTTTTTTCCTATTTATTAGTGTTAAGCTACGCCTTTTCTGTTTGTTGGTGTTATTATTAGTGTTCGTTCTCATATATATCAGCTGCTCAGTTGCTTGTAAGCATTGGCTTTTACTTCCTTTTATGTTAGATACAAAATAGTTAAAAGCTTATGTTATAGTTTGATGATTGTGGCCTTGCACTGATCTTTAAGTAACTTTTTTCCAACTAGTGAAACTTGTACCTGGGATAAACTTACCTCTACCAACACGTGAGTTTTTTCTTCTCGATGATGCACTTCTTAGTACAACCACATGGCCAATTGAACTCGTCTCCTTTTACTAGCTCTTGACTGAAAGATACTAATTTTGGTAGTGATGGTTCACTAAATTTATATCAATTTCGACTTTAGTATTTCTTGTTTTTCTATTACTTACTAGCTATACATATTTTGGTCCTATAGGTTTGAGAATTAGCCCAACACTTCTTAAGGAATTGCTTTGTTTTTTGTTGGTATGGTGCACTTTTGTGATCACTTGGATGCTCTTTGGACATGGAGAATGTGCTTGGGAGATTGCTTTTTTGGTATGATGCTGCTTTGTAGTCATCATTAGTTTTCTTTGTCAACTTTAGGATGTACAGCAGTTGTAAGAGGAACAAAACAATTCAAATTTTTTGTTTGTGTGAAAACTTCCAATTGTACTGTAATTGACAATTTCTACTAATTAATCCAAGTATTTTGAGTTTAATGTGCTTATGGTCATTATTGTTATCTTTTTATTGTATTCTTTACAATATTTATTTAGATGTTATGAAGTGAGGTTTATAAAGAATGAATTGTTAAAATAAATGTAAATTACGCATGTAAAATTAGCAATAATTGTTGATGGTAGTCTATTTTTATGATGTACTACGTATGTCGTAATTGCCTTCACAATATTATGACACCCAACAAACTCTGTATCAGATATAATTACGGCACATAGGTATGCCATAATTGTTTTCACAATATTATGACACTCCATTAGTGTCTTATCTAATATCAATCAAGGCACGCAAGGCATGCCTTGAAAGGAATTTACGACGTGTTTTGCTTAAATTATTCACGGCTAGTAGAGTACGTCGTGTTTGACAAAACATCTTTTATGACATGGGCTTTTACTACTTGAGGGCTCATGCCGTGAATAACCGTTTACGGCGCTCTTTGTGCGCTGCAAAAGACCAGTTCTGTTGTAGTGGATGTTGGTTAGTCCTTTTAAACAACCAAGAAAACGCAAACTGTTTTAAAATGAAAAAAGGACAGTAGTTTCAGTTATAGGTGACATTAAATATTGAGATAGACTGTCAGATAAAGCAAGTTTGTGTCGCTCCTAACTAACATCACTAACCATTAATAAATAAAAATAAATAAAGCTAACACTTTCTTCCCGTCGAATAAAGACACATTTTATGGTTCATACCCGACAAAAAATATGTTAATAATTAAAAAAAAATATAAAAACGACAATTTCAGTTTTTGAATAAATAAAAATAAACAAAACTAATAATTATCTGCCAATATACATTCGTAAGAGTTCAAAAGAAAATTTCACCTATTTCTGAGGTCTTCAAATTTTACCTGTTCCCACATGCTAAATTTTGGGTGTCATCTTCCAAATTGTCAAGGCATGATATCTGCTCCATTTCTACAAGTGAATTCGTAAAGCTTAGACATTATTGATATATGATGAATTTTTGAGACTATTCTAAAAGGAATGATGCCTCAAGTAGATATAGGTAATGATTGCTCAAGTAGATATAGTTCTCACCTATTATGGTAGTCTTTGTAATCCCCTAGCAATGGGTTCCCCCTGAAAGCTTGGTTAGAGAACACGCTCACTTGCACACACACTTCAAAACTCAATTCATATATATAGGGGGAGAGAGAGAGAGAGAGAGAGAGAGAGAGAGAGAGTACCACAAAGTCCTAAATTTCAATCCCACCGGGAAATCATGAGGACAACGAAGAACTCATTGAAATCCAATTGAACGGAGAGAAAGAACAACTGGGAGATGAGTAGAATGGCAAGCCAAGGAGGGGTGACATATGAGTGAGTTTTGAGCTGTGGGGTTCGAATTTTTCTTTCAGGGGAAAGGGGGAGGAAATTAAATTGCACCCAAAAGGTTTTATGGAAAAAATCTGGAAGGAAGAACCCAAAAATCAGCCCCCCCTCCCACCCTCACTCTTTCTTTCTCTGTAACCATCCCTCAAATCCCCCAATCCCTCCCTTTCTATTTATATCTTTGTAATTTCCCCTCAAATCCCTCACCAAATCTTTCTGTGTCAATTTTAAATACACCGTGGAATAGAACCGACATCACTATTTTCTATGCAAAGAATGGCTTGCCCAAAATTTAGCACGGGGGAAATTTCTCGCCCATTACCCTTGGATAAACTGTTTAAAAATCAATTTATTTCAACTGACAAGAAGTTTTAAAATATTTAAAAATAATTATTACTATCAGGTAGAAGCGACACGATTATCTTTTTATTTGATAACCATTTCATTTTTTGTTTTTTTTTTTACATAATTTGTGCTTAAAATGGAGGGAAAATACATGAGAGAAATGAAGAAAATAGAGTGGAGGAAGGGTGTGGGGAGATATATAGAAGAAACGTTCCAGGAAAGCCATATACATAAAAGTTAAAAACCAAAAACTAAACTACTGTGAGTTATTAATTATCACTTTTAAGATTCTGTTCATTTTCTGTAATTCTTCTCCTTTCTCCCATTACCATTTTTCATCCTTCATTTCTCCATGTATTTTCTTTAATTATATCTTAAGCACAAAAAATCAAAAACTTAAAATGATAATCAAACGGGCTCTAAATGTTGAGAAGCGCAAACATGCTCTTTATGTCGACTACGCCTCAACTCTGGAATTTTCTGATTTGAAGCAGACAAAATTCTGGTTGCAGCTGTAAGTCTCCAGCTAATTCTTTAATCTCATTCAAAGTAGTATTAAAATTATATGTAGAAAACCAGGCATCTGTGAGCACATTGTATGGCACAAAGCGATCACTGTAACTACACCATATTCTCTTGGACAGAATCTCTCATCTCATCTGCTGCAAGATATTACTGGGATGTTGGGATTATTATAGAGGAACCTCTAAGATTTGACGTGTGTATTGCGCCCTGCCTTTCCAACTGTCCAACACCAACAGTACTAGACTACTAGGAATCCATGTAAAGTGTTTGATTTAAAAAATTAGTATTATGGATTAGTAGTATTTTTTTTCACCTGTTAGAAGATCTCAGTTTCGACTTATATGAATGACAATAACGTATAATACTTGTTAGAAGAGAATATATCAGGAAACAATTAAAAAAATAGAAATAAAAGAACTCGATGCATGATGCATGGTATCGTAAATTATTTATTCAGGCGACTTATTCTTTTTTTCTACTGTTCGTCTCCTGAAGTTTGAAATGTCATGCGCAACGAATGGTTTGTCCGAGATTTAAACCATACTGCAGAAATGTCATCAAAATATATGTAGGTAAAGGCAGCAGAATAACAATAATGAAGAATCAAAACCCTCCCATTAAACCAGAATTATTCCGGAATTGTTCTGTAATAAGAGGTAAGAACGCAAATGCAGGATTACGTGGGATAGCATTCTTCCATTTATTTTCTAAACTATAAGTACTACAAAGGATAATACTAAAAAAAGCAAATAAATGACAAGGTGGCTACTACAAAAGCACACCAATTAGTCATGTCAATTAATTGATTTTTGTGTAAACAAATCACATGTATATGGCCCAAAACTTGTTTCTGATGCTGTTTGGTCTGGTGAATGGCTGCTGAAAAATAAAATTGCCATCTTTTTGTTTAGTACTTTGGTGATTATTTATACTTTTATAGCTATGTAGTTTAATGATAGAACTTCAATCTGATAATTTTAACTAAAAAGTATATAGAGCCTAACGATTTCATTTCTTGCAATATTGTAGCTACTATAACTCGAGAAAAAACATTTAAACTCGAGCGCAAGAGGCAAGAAAAAAACTACCATGCCTATATGCACCTAAAGATTCTATTTTTTATAGGCTTGTGAAAATGTAAAACCCCAATATATAGGATAGAAAGGCATATAGCTTAATAGAAATGTGGGAATATAACTTTGTTATCAGACTTTCTAAATACAAGGTGCTTGCTGTGTGGTAATTTTCTTTTAAAAAGATGGTTAATATATAGATAATATACATACATACATACATACATACATATATATTATATATATTTAGAATACATTTTTCCCTTTGCATCAAAACCCATCTTTCCAATTCCTTTGTAAGATCATCCATATCCGTAGAAGACATGATATATTCTCTTCTCAGTGTCAGCAGCCATGTTAGCTTGATCTACATAGCAAGCATTAATGTGAGGATTTAGATACCATGCCTTGTCTAAAGTTCTAATAATTTGGGAGTCCTATTCCCTAAAACCACAAGATTTTAGACCCCAAGAAAGCTGCTAAGTTGGAATTGTTTTTAGACAGCTTTGGAATCTATTACCAAACTGAGATCAAACTTCAGGGATAAAGGATGCCACTTGCCAATCTAAACAGGAATATCTTCTAGGCCTGGGTTTGTCTTAGAGTTTCCCTATAGTTATATCTTTCCTTCTGTCGTATAAATATACACAACTTGTGGTTATGGCAAACCTACTAAAGAGAACATTTGGCTCTTTCATATCTTCCATTGCATGCTACTCTTACTTTAACAACAACGATCATCACCACCACCACCATTACTACCAAAGCTTCATCAACAATAAGAAAATCAAACACAGCATGCCAAGGAGTCGGCCGCTTTCGCTACAGGTTTGCTTTCATCCCCGTTGTTTTGTTTTCGTTTTTCAAGGTATCTCAGCATGAAAGTTCACCATGCATGGCTTTTCTTCCTCCCTCAAGTTCTCTCCTTAAACAGACACACGCACGCACATAAATATATTCCCTCAAAGTACTATTTGTTTTATTTATATGAGAAACAAAGAACACAAATCTTTCTTGTCAAGTGGAGAGAAATCGATTTGAGAAACCTCGTTTCAAAGTGGTTCAAAGAGTAATGATCATGTTTTGAGCACACTAAATTACTAACCATGATGGAGAATCTGCAACCATGTCCCAATCTTGTTAATCATTCATCGATTTATATCTTAATTAAATGATGTTTCTTGTAACATAAGAATATTAATCATGATTCATGAGGTACAATTTCAATCTGCATCCCAACACGGCTTTTCTTAATTAATCCCCTTTTAGCTTCCAGGTACAGGTTCAATCTGCATCCCAACACGGCTTTTCTTAATTAATCCCCTTTTAGCTTCCAATTATTAACTGCTTAAAGTATTAAACTGTCTGAAACCAACAAAAGGAACGAAGGAATAAAAAGAAAGGAAGGAAAAACCAAAACATACTTTTTGTAATATGAGAACAGATTCTGAAACCGTGTTTGCTTTACAGACTGTGGAGCTCAAAGTCAGGATGTGCTGCACTGGCTGTGAAAGAGTGGTGAAAAATGCCATTTTCAAGCTCAGAGGTACACTATCAAAATAATCATTCATTTTCTGTTTTTTGAAATTAATATCAATTTTTCACTTGGGAATAGGGCAATGAATGTGCACAAATGTATATGTTATGTATTCAGGGATTGATTCTGTGGATGTGAATCTACCATTAGAAAAGGTGACAGTAATTGGGTACGT